TGGTGTATGATGAGTGGTGTATGATGAGTGGTGTATGATGAGTGGTGGTTGAACAGCTGTTGAATGTCCGTAACACGGAAGTTTTGCACACTAAACTTCCTTTGAATATAGATATATTCATTCTTGTGACTTGATGTATGACATGACTATTTCGCATGCTGCACACTTGCGTTCTTGCATGAATACAGTAGCATATCCTGGCATTGTGTTTTCAATGATCATGAGCATGTAGCCTGTCTTGTCGGCCAGCAAGTGCCGGCTATTGCAACCTGGGCCTGACAGTGTGCGGGAGCGTCTTTAGATAGAATGGCCGTGCCTCCGTTCTGACGGACATACAAAGACAATTTGCAAGGCCAAACAAATGGATCAAACTGGGGTGCAGAACCAAGTCCTCAGGTATGGGCAAGTGGCAATGACGATGCCCTGCTGGTAGGCAAGCCTGCGGCGATCGGCGTTCCACTCATTTGGAACATGTTGGAGCTCAAAGTGTCGAGGCAAGGCCGTGTCCACTTGATTCCACTTGCACTACAAGGCTCGCCTAGAAATCATGTGCGAGTTGCGAGTTTCGCAAATCTTGCACGTGAACAGGATCCTGCAACCAGGTCCAAGGGAAGTCTCTGTAAGGTATAATCTTTTCACATAATGAGGCGAGGTCAGGTGAGGCAAGATTCGAACTCAAGATGAAGCTGATCAAAATTGAACTATGCAAATCGCACCTTGAAATACTTGGAACAAAACCCTTGGCGACAAGCTAGATTCCACAAGAATGATCAGGATACTAATAGCTACACGGTGCGACAAGGTGGCTCTTGGGGATATTTGCCAAGAACTCTGGAGACAAGGGTGCAATTGGTGTAGAGTGTAAGTGTGCATTTCATGCACATCACCACGTTGTGGAGCAGTGCGTTGGTAGTGCGGTTTTTGCTAGTCTGGCTCTATAGAACATTTATATTATTAATCCTTAGCGTATTGTCACAAATGGACAAAACCAAAAAGGGAAGTTCGGTTCGGGGAATTCGAAAGGCCTTCCACGGCTTTCTCAATCATGGAACAACACAAACAGCAACACAATAGTGAAACGACGAACAAATGGACCTGAGTCGGCCGGTGAAGCCTTATACCATTTTCCCCACCCCTGAATTCCAATGTTCTCAAAGAACACATTTCGATTGCCTGCAACTGACGCTCCAGAATGGGTAAACTTGGAGAACAACTATGAATTGTTAAGTTTCCCTTAAAATCTAGAAACCAAATCATTGGTGCGAGTGCTTCTTGAAGGAAGCTTCCCCCGCCGCGCGCGCTTCCTTGAAGAAGCGTGAGCTATCCTGCGTCCTAATAAGTAGCTACTTGTAGGTGCTGGCTACCTAGCTACTTACCTCTAGCTACTACCTCCTAGCAGCCTACCCCCTTTAAAAAGAAGTCTGACCACTTGACCTGGGTTGACAGCTGTCCTGAATTTCCGTGGCGCTACACGGGCAAATGGGATTGGCCCGGATGAAGCATCCTGACATGGTACTTGTATGATCTTGCATGTACTTATTCAACACCAACAAAAAAACAATACATGAGGGTCACAATTTGGATCAAATCAAGTGAATCTCCTGGCTCACGCTATCGGAGCTCTGCCTCAGCAAAGCCGGTGCTGAAAAGAACTGTTTCTGACAGCGAGCGGTCAAGGAAGCTTCTCCCCGATGCCCCCGTGATGTGCTCGGTGGACTCGGGTGGACTAGCCAGCACCCCCTGGCACTTGTTACCTGCAAATAAGATCAAATAAGTATGTAGCTGTCCAGGCTGTATATCCTAGCACTTGGCGTCTAAGTGGAGCACCCCTCCTGTGATTTAGTTGGTGTGTTGCCTTCTCACCCTGATACAAAACTTTGACATGTTGCGAACTAAATATGCTACCTTGCCTTGCCAGTTTTGCTAGCAGGGTCATTCTGATAGTCAAGGTTCCGGCTCAGGTGCAGCACCCAGCAATTTTGGCACACCTGGTTCCTGCAAGGTGCAAAACTTCCAGGAACTAAGTTTCTCTGCTTCAACTATGTTTTACGCATCTTCAACTGCTCTTGTGAAAAATGTGAAGGAGAACCCGTCATCTGCAACCTTCTTTTTCTGCCAGGTGCAGCATCCCACATTGCGGCCAAATGGAGCGCCTACGGTCCGTTTCCACCTCAAATGTCGAAGGAGATCTCCGTCGCAGACCTTGATCAAACTTACGAGCGTGAAGGCCGTCTTCTTCGTCGTCTTGACCGCGAGCGGGAGCGCCGCCGGAGTCGCTCCTTGGAAAGGTAAACTTCAAACTTTACCTTTCGCTCAATTCATCTCAATTCCATGCACATCTGGACAATTTTGCCAACAACTTTGTAGCCAATGACGAGCGAAACAGAGCCGCATCCTTTTGCCAACATGAAAAGGATGAAACAGCATGGCTAGCCTACAAATGGCCCCCTCTGCCAATCACCAAAAGAAATATTACAACCTTTTCAGTGGAACCCCTGCAACCTTGGATGTTCAAAAACATAATGTTTTCAATGAGAACCGCTTCGATGCTCAAATTGTTCCAGGAAGCTGCTCGCTGTTGCCTCTCCTCAAGGCGTCACGTCATAACGAAAACCATGAGAAACTTTTGCAGGGCACAACGAGAGATCCTTTTCGGATCGTGTCTTTCATTAAGTCTCAAATGACAGCAAACAATTGAAATTCCAATCCAATGTACTAGCTCCGATATGCAGGAATCAGGGATGATGGGGCTGAGAAAAAAACGTTGAGCTGGCCACCTGTATCAGGATATATAATGATTTGTTTCGCTGGATTTTCTAGAAGCGCTCGCCAGCAAGGTCCTTATGCGCTCGCCTCTGTGCCTCTTTCTCAGCTGCTGCTTTTGCTCCTATGATCATGACCAAACACTTGCGTTCTCCCATGTTTGGTGGGAAGTAAAGCACCACTTCTTGAATCCAAGCAAGCAAGTGCTGCCTGACAGGAGCAACATGTGTATATATATATATATATCAAATTAATTACATCAGTAATTTTTTTAGTAAAGCAATACATGAGTGTTGATCTAAATTTTTCCTTCATCCGGGATCCGTCATTCTTAGCCAAAAAGCCAAAATTTTGCCTTCCTGCGTTATATTTTTCGCCGAAATATGTTGTATTTATGTTTGCCATGTATATGACGGATGTCAAACTGTTTCATGTCAATGGCTTTTATCTGCACTGGCAGATACGAAATAAACACTTCACTGTTTGTTAGCATGTGTCTTGTTGACACCCTGTACGTCTCTTTTGTTTCTCCTGGGTGTCTGCAAGAACCAAAAGTTGCAAGGGTCACTGTGGCAGGGTCAACTTTCGCCAATCTTGAGCTGAGTTTTCGCCAATTTTTTTGCCTTTTGCGAGGGAGAGTTTTGTGGCAGAGCCACTCCCCAAAAGCAGCAGCAGGAGGAGTAGTAGTAGTGGCAGCAGCTGCAGCAGCAGCAGTAGTAATAGTAGCAGCAGCAGGAGCAGCAGTAGTAGCAGTGGTAGCAGCAGCAGCAGCAGCATCATAATAGTAGCAAGAATAGTAGTAGTAGTAGTAGTAGTAGTAGTAGTAGCAGCAGCAGCAGCAGCAGTAGTAGAGTCCGAGTAGGAGTACGAGCAGCAGCAGCAGCAGCAGCAGCAGTAGTAGGAGTAGTAGTAGTTTGTATTATTAGTATATAGTAGTAGTAGTAGTCGTAGTAGCAGTAGCAGTAGCAGTAGCAGTAGTAGTAGTAGCTAGTAGCTAGTAGCTAGTAGTTAGTAGTTAGTAGGTAGTAGGTAGTATGTAGTAGGTAGTAGGTAGTATGTAGTAGGAGCAGCAGCAGCAGGAGTAGAAGTAGTACTACAGCAGCAGCAGTAGTCGTAGTAGCAGCAGAAAGAACATCTTTAGCCGTATCTTTCGCCAAAAAAATATACTGTATACGTTCGCCAACTCGAGAAAAAAACTTTTGCCAAATGAGATTTTGACATGTTCCAGGGTCATCGTCATCAACAATCCCTATTAGGACCTTTACATCGACAACCACATATTAGGCTCTTCAATCTCAAGCAGCTCCGGCAATGTGCAATATGATCCTTACGAGCAGCGTGTTGCATTCGTCCTCTTTGTTCCACCACGCGGATGCTTGCTTCCAACTGAGGGCAACAAACAAGTGGCAAACAGTTGGCATTGGAGCACGCTTTCAACATATACCAATCGTTCCGTCGCAGTGACCTTAATTGACGATTTCACTTTCAACAGGCCTTGTCATCACGCTCCTGCCAACGACGGGCTGCCTCTTCTGCAAGTTTCCGCAGCGCGTCTTTGTCCACCTGTGCCACAATGACATAAAGAAGTCAAGCATGGCAAGCCTCCATTCAAGGCCAAAACGGTGCTTGAATATCCATTCCAGCTGTCTTTCATTGCCCAACTGCGTTCACGGCGAACCTCTTTCTTCTTTTTCTTTCCTTTAGTTGAAGAAGATGCTTCCTCCGCGGAGCTGGTCGTTGCCTTCTTCTTCTTGGATCTCTTTTTGGCCTGGCTTCCCAATTCCAAAATGCATGTATATTAATGCGTTGTGCTTTAGATATGGTCACATATGTAACAAACTCTGCCATGAAGAAACAAGCCTTCAAAGGCTGCAATTCCAAGTCTGACTCAACCTCTGGCTGAATTTGTTCATGATCATCGTGATCATCAAGCTCAACAGTGATGGCTGTGGATTCCTAGCGAACGAAAGTGGAGTAGCGAAGCTCAGCAGTCGAGTTGAAGATCAGGCAGCTCAGGCCGGGTCGGCCCAACTCTGTGAACAATTTAATTTGGAACTAGTGCTCCCAATGACAGTATATTACATAATAATTACAAAATCAACCATGGTTTCGCGTGTCATTCTCTCATTGGTGAAAACCGCATGTGGCAACTCATACAATGCATACACCATTCGGTGAGCTTGCTCGTGTACGTTCAGTCTCATATCAGCTGCTGCAGTCCTTTTGTCCCACTGCCCCAGTCAAATCAATGCTGATACCAGCTGCATCTGCTGCCTGCGTGACAAGGCATTTTGAGTTCCCACAACCCTTTTCAAAGACATTCACATCTTCAAAAGGTGACTCAAGACGTCCGAGAGCACCTCGGCTTCTTTGGCTCGAGGATGTGCGCCTGAACCAAGCAATTTGTTGAGACCCTGCCTTGAATAATTTGTTCAAGAATGTTCAAGACATGTTTTCTTGTATCTTTCAAACAATGATCTTGTTTGCAGTCGCGGCTGAGACTGAACCCTTTTCAAAAAGTAGACTTTTGGTGGAAGCCATAGCAGGTTTAGTAGTAGCGATAGCATGCTATAGAATCTTGCTGCAAAGGAGCAGCGGTAGCAACAGTGAGAAGTGCCTACATTCCGATTCCAGACCTGACTCCAAGAATAGGAGCAAGTTATGTTTCCATTTTGTGTTCTATCGTTTTCTTTTGTAGTGATAGACATAGGCTTCGAGCTTATTTGGACAAAAACATGAAAACATGAAACGCTCAAAACAGCCGACTTGACACATAGAACATTGCGAAAACGCACCCTTCGAACAACAAACCTTTCGACTCACAAGATTTGTTGGCGAATTTAACCGTTGCAAAGTAAGTTGATAGACTTTGTCTCTAAAACGTATGGAATGGCATGCGGTTGGTCTGCTGTTTGTAATTCCTTGCAACCTTGGGGTGGCTACCCCGCTTTGAGAAAAGCATGCTTATGTGATCTGCAGCACTCGGCTGCCAGCTGCAGGGTGCAAACGTAGACGGGTGTCGCAATGGCTTGCCTACCGCCTTTACCGCCAGCGGCAGTTCCTCCCCTAGAGACTTTTCTGGCCGGTGTGACGGAATCCCATTGCTGTATGGGAGACTTTGCTGCACAAGCACCGTGAGTACTTGACACTATAAGGATAAATGGACATTAGTCCTCCCACCTGTTTACATATTCTATCATATCTAGGCAATTGTGGTGCTCCAATGATCTATATAAAACTAAAACAATTTGACCATGCTTGCTCACTTGGTTGAGTTTGAGACGTTTGGACTGTTCTTTCTTCTCATTAGTCTGATTGAAACTTTCTTGGCTTGAGAGAATGAACTGGGTCAGCATTGAATACTTATATTCATTGACGAGCTTCGGGTCTCATAATGGTCATAATGAGATCCGAAGCTCGTCACACCTGCATGGAGTCTCCAAATGAATTTTGAAATCTTCGAACAGCTTGGAGCTGATCTTTTGGCTCCAAAGGCTATTGCTTCCCATGCGAATGACGACTCTGTTCATCTCTTTTCGATGTTCTACAGCATGTGCAGCATGCGCCTGCTTCTGGAATGTTCCAGCTGATTTCGGGAAAACTCGCCTGAGCTGCGAAGTACACAAGTGATGTTTGCCTTTACCTGTCTTCACTCCGTTTGACTCGCGTCTTCATGCTTTGATCTAGGTCAAAACAGCGCATTGGCTATCCAACATAAGGGCCGTCTGTGATTGGCAACTCAGGATGTTCAGAGTTCAGCTTGTTTAAACAATGCTCAAATATGTCAGACTTGTGTTGCATACTCCTGCCTCATCATAGGTCTCAATCATGGCTGCACATCACGTGCCCCCACATCCCACAAGATTGAGGACAACATGGCAAATGACTCCGCATTGTGTGACAGCCGAATGCGGTCAGCTCCACTGGAGTTTCCGATGCTCTTGACCCGTGGTTCTGATATTTAGCGTGAACACAAAAAAGAACTGTGAATCCCACTCTCCCACTTTTCAACATGGACACTTGACTGGCCATTTATGCGGACATCTATATACGAATATTGCATAAATTGTGGATTTAACTCCAATATGTTTGGCTTTCTCACTCTTTCATTTTCCAGGTAAGCTAGAGCCTTTCAGCTGCGAACACATTGAAATTCAAGCAAAAGTACACATAGAATGACCACCACTCATTCGATCATGTATGTTCCACGTTGTGACAAAGAGATACAAAGAGAACCATTCAGGACCCTTTAGTCATGCTGTGTTTGTTTGCACTGAAACTCCTTGTTTGACAGAGCTGCAAAGCTGTAGGTCACCTCAATTCTCCAAGAAATCATGCTTTCTACTTGCCACTTCGTGCAAACATGACGTGCTTGCCATGTTCTCTATAGATGTTCAAACATGTCAGTGACAGTGTCAGTGTTATTAAAAGCTTTGCCAAGGCTAAGACGGATGAACAAAGCAAGAACAGCAACGCCACAATCACAAAATGCGACGCCCAACGCCCCTGCATGTTCACAGTGGCTCAAGTCATTGAAACACGGCATGATTTGCATTGGTTTACCAGTGAGCCAGCAAGATCCAGCGAGTTGTATCACCGCACCTGGACCTGTGAAAACCTGCTGCGTATGGTAGGAACAATGAAACAGCTTGACACAAAGCAACAACCCAATCGGATCCGCACCTTCCATCTACGAGCATGGGAAATTGAATGGTGCGGCATTACAATGATCCTATCTTTACCCTGGATTGAAATTTGCCTGAAAATGATGTAACGTGTTCAGACTTTGAATTCCCACCGTGAACTGGTTCAGGTCGTAAGGAGTGGAGTTCCCCATTTTGACAGGACACTTAAAAAGTATCTTCAAACTTGTTCAAACATGTCTGTACATGTAATTGAGTTTTCGATGTACAGTAACTATCCTTTTCATGTGAGTCTGATAAGTGTCCTTCTTCCATGAATATAGCCTCAAAGCCAGCAAGTGCAGGTCTATACGAAACTGCAATGCGCAGCAAAACAACCATGTCACTGCAAACAGGTCAGCGAGAAAGTTCATCATCTCTCGAAGTTTCGCCTCTATGACTTATAGGCCATATGACTACTATGTCTTCCACTGCGTATATAGATTCGAGGAGACAAACCATGTTATATTCCGGCAAAAACAAGTGCAGGCTGAGAGCTCTCTGACAGATTAATCCGAACGCAGCTGTTGAAAGCAAACCTCATGCTGGAGCTGGTTTTCGATGGCGACAGTTTCCAATGAGATGAGATGAGAGATGATGAGACTCTTTTGCAACCAAACCCACACATTTGCACCAAACACAATTTTGCCTCACAATCCTGGTTGCGCATCCTTTTTGCCTCTAGAGCTTGGCACCCTCATTTGCAAGTTCTTCGATTCCTACTGCTTCGCAGTACTCCAGCCTTGGTCGGTCTGCTGAAGACATTTCATCGAAAGAAAAGAAACAACAGCAGCAAGGCAATCCTTGGCAGGCGAACCTGTGCATCCAAAGATGAGATCCTAATCAAAGGAGGATCTTGTGGATATCTCTCCATGACCACATCTCTCAAGACTGAAGAAAAAAAAGATCTTCAAGGGTAGCACAGATTAACTATTGGACTCAAATTGGCATAGGCATGTCAATGTGACATACATATGAATCATCATATTCTGCCAAAGGGCAATTCCTGCGTCTGTGGCGGCATGGACATCTTCTCCGGTTTGGTGACTGGCTCTTGATGCCACTTCCGCATCCGCGCCTTGGTCAGAAAGTTGCCCACTCCCTACACCCCAAGTCACCTACGACTTACACGTCACATCCATCCTCTGAAAGGAAACACCTTTTTCTGCTTGCAAGCAGTGCTCTGTGGCCACCTGCAATTAGACAGCATTTTCACTGCTTTGTTGGTGAATCCAGCTATATACCCATACCAGGAACACTGATCTTGCCCCCAATGATGAAGTGTTTGACGACTTTGGCTAAGTTATACAATGGGTGCATTTGCAAGCACAAACCAACCCAAACTCTTCCGGCTACACTGTGTGCTAGGAGTCCTGCTGCCAGGGAGGCCTGGATGTTGTTCAAACGCCAACCAGGCCTGGGAACATTCAGGTGCAAAGACCGCCAAAATCGATCAAACTCTATGACTCAAATACTCCATGCCGATGACACACTTGTCCCCCTCTTTGATCAAGCAAGTATGCTTAAATTCTGTTGAATTTCATGAAGGCAATGCATGTGTAGAAAAGCCAATGAAAAAAACAACAGCAGGGACACTAAGCGGTGCAAATTTGACCATTATCTGTGAAATTTCAAGAAGCCTGAAACTTGGGGTGAACATTGCCAAGTTATGCCTTTACACAATTTTAGTCTGACAGCACATGACAGCACTTTTGCAACATGCAGGCACGTGCAACACAATAATTAAGGTCAGCGTTAATAATGACACATAATACCTCTGCAGCATGATCTTTTCTCCACAATCTCTTGAAGTGCGAGTGCTTTCTTTGGCTCAATGACTGAAGAGGATGAAGAGGGATGGTCGGCGTGCTCGGCGCCGTCGCTGTCCGAATCAGAGCTCAAGTTGATGCATAGAGCTGTCGGAGCCTCGGTTCTGCTTCCAAGCGATCGGTTCTGACATATTGGACATGGCGCCTAGTGTTTGTGTGGTCAGGTTTCCAGAACGGGTTGGATAGGCCGTGGGTGAGTGTTTTGATTTTGATGTGGATGCGGATATCGTTTCACAAGAAAGAACATGAATGCCCAACCCTGGTAATCTCCCTAGTGTGCTGTCCCCCTCTAGATGGAGAGAAAAATGGCTTGTCTTAGCTGCCACGTGACACGCAGTCTCTGAAAGCGCTCTTCAGGAACCGCTTGCAGTCCTGCTAGTATATATTATTATATAAATAGGTATATTGAAAAAGAGCTGATGTATAGAAGGTTGCTAGTTGGCACTCAATCTCATTTATCATTTATCTTTCAGAGCCCGAGGCATGTCCCCCGCCTGGTCGGTTGGTACCACAGGTGCACAACAATGCTCCCGCGTCGTTCAGGAGGCGACACTTTGTGCACGACCACCTCAAGCAAATAGAGAGAGCAAAAAGGATAGGTCCCTGAATCAATTTTGGAATATGTTGGAAGTGTTATATTTTTTTTGGTGCTGGTATGGCTGGAAATTGGCGTGCAGCGTTTTGTGAACCTCGGAGTGCACTTTGGGAAGCACGGAGCGCTGATCTTAACATCTACTGTAGGTCTTATGTCAAATGGCAAAAACCTACTTGAGGCCAGAGGGGGTGAACGAAAGCTAGCCGGGCTTCCGGTGGTCTGCTGCTGGTGCTGCTGCTGCTGGTGCTGCTGCTGCCGCTGCTGCGCTGGGCGCTGCTGCGCTGGGTGCTCTGCAGGCGCCGGGTCGTCTGCTGCTGCTGCTGCTGGCGCTGGGTGGTCTGCTGCGGCTGCTGCTGCCGCGGCGTTGGGTATGGGTATGCTGCTGCTGCTGCTGCTGCCGCCGCTGAGTGGTCTGCTGCTGCTGCTGGTGCTGCTGCTGCTGCTGCTGCCGCTGCTGCGCTGG